GGCTTTGGGTTTAGGGTTTTAGAGGGTTTGGAGCTTAAGAACCTGCCATGACTGCTTTCTTGATTTCTCAGTGCTTAGACGGATCTGCGAAAATTATTCAAAGGCCCGAAAAAAAGAAACGATCTACTGCAAGGCATTAAATCCTACGTAAACATCTCCAGCAGGCACATACACGAATTCGTCTTCACTGCGGGATGGTAATAAAGGACAAGCCTGAATCCATACCAAACCCCAAAACCAAACCCCACGAACTCTCAACCCCAAATGCTAAGCCCTAACGCGATGCAGGGCAGTCTTTTTGGCAAGCACGCAGTCTTCAGTCCAGCACTTCAGAACAGGAAGTTCTGATAGGCCTGGAAAAGTTGCAGTTTCGGGTTTGGGGTTCAGGGATGCGGTTGAGGGTCTGGGGCTTGGAGTGCAGAGAGGGTCAGTGGTCGGGAGGATGGAGCATGCATCCACTCCAAGCGTGCTTGAAGAATTTTGATCAGATTCTGCTCGAGAACTCGCAACAAGCATGGAGACCCTCTGCCACATCTTGAAACCTCCGACCTCCTTCTTCCCCGAGTAGGAGAAGGATACGCCAGCAAAGGCCATGACCTTTTCTTGCACAGGCCACAGGCGCTTAAACCGACACTTGAAACGCTTGTGCGACTATGGCTGAAGCGGGTCGGGAGATCTTCTCCGAGTCCGGAAAGCTGAACCTGGGCAAGTGCAGCGAAGAGCTGAAAGAACAGGTAGACAACATCTTCACTTCTGTGCAGAGCTATGCAGTCTCGAGCTGCGTGAGGCCAGGCCCCTGGCTCATAGGTAGGATCCGGCATGGGCTTCTCGGTCAGGCCAGCCTGATACGAGACGAGCTCTCTAATTACAAGGGATGTGCATGGTGCTTTATGGGCTTTCTTGATTTCTTGTTCAAGGATTCTGCGTTCTCTCAGCACACTGGTCGATTCTGCCTGTAAATTGTCTTTCTCAGACTGCAACACTCCACAGACCACTGCTTGGTTGATATTCAAAGGTGAAGCAGAGGGATTGACGACCGGCCTGAGGAGTTTGGGGCGGTGCTTCTGAGTCTGCGAATTTCTGGACATGTCCTTTGAGCGAAACCCCCACCTCGACCCCCTTAACCGCAAGAGAGACGACCATGCAGAACAAAGCCGGCAGGCCGCCTTCTCGCAGAATAAGAAATCAGCAGCAGCCTNNCAGTACCTTGGTGTTCGGCGCCTCGCCGGCTGCCTCCTCCACCTTTGGCGCCTCTCCAGCTGGCTCCTCTGTGTGGGGCACCTCTGCGGCTGCCTCCTGAGCCGGTTTTGCCTCTGTGGCTGGCACCGATTTAGGGGCCGCAGCAGCCGGCTCCTCCGGTTTTGCTTCCTGCGCTAGAGCCGGGGGGGCCTCTGCAACTGGTTCTGCCTTTGGTGCTTCCGCCGGTGTCTCCTGTGGCTCGGGGGCCGGAACCTAGGCTGGCACACTGCGTAGCACGTACGCAGGCGTGACCGTCACCCAAACTCGTGCCTGCGGCGCATTCTCTGCAGCGCCGCCGGCGATGTCGCCATTCATGTGCGAGGAGCTTTGAGGAATACCATTAGGAAGCGCTCTCCCCCCATCGTTGAAGCCCTTTGAGAGCTACAAAAGCTCATTGGAAACGGTACAGCTCTAGTTGAAGATGCGAACAAACCTCCTAAGCTTTTCAAACCCCAGGCTTTCTTCAAAACCTAACTAAAACAGACTTCAATCGCCAAGTGCTATATCGTCTTAGAACCGTGAGAGGGACCTTTCAGGGTTCTGCAAAATGAACCCCAGAAGGTCTCAAAGAACTCAAAACCTTAGGCCCCAAAACCTTGAACGAACAGCGGAACCCGAAAAGTCGAGAAACACGAAACGTCCAAAAGGTGCAAGAATGCCGGAAAAGTCGAAAAACCGAAAAGCCCGAAAGTCCGAAAAGTGCAAGAAAACCCGACAAGTCGAAAAGCACGAGTAGAAAGTCGAAAAGCCCGAAAAGTCCGAGAGAGAGAAATGCAAGAAAACCCGAAAAGTCGAAAAGCACAAAAAGTCCGCAACACGCAAGAAAAGTCGAAAAGTCAAAAACGCTTCGACTTTTTTAACTTTGCGAGTTTTCGAATATCGCTTCGGTTCTCCGCTTATGGAAACAAACGCCTGCTTGCTTGCGTACTTAGCTTTCCGAAAACCTGCCTGCGTTGATAGATATCAGGAATTGCGAAGTGGCCCGGCGCGACCCATTGCTGTAGTGGCGGGCTAGCGCAATGGAGGCACTTGCAACGTGGACATTCTTATGGTTCGAGCTTGGATACTCTGCATGGCCAATAGATGCACTGTTAACATGGACATTTTGGACGGGAAGCAACGACTGTTTCTGTGAAATGAGCATTTCACATACTGCTCAAAGCATCTGAGGTTCTTGTGTGGTTCGCATAGATATGCCATGAGATCCCCCCTTGGCCGGGGAAAAAGAGCTGCCAATCCAAGCCCGGCCATGATCCTATGTGTAAAGAAACGTTGAAAACGCCTCCCGTTGATTCCATAACCCAGGAAATCATGGTCTTCCAGGGCATGGCTTTGGCAAATCATATGCTTGTTCAACATCCAAGATTGGATGGGTGTGCAAAGTCATGTATGAGCGAATTAGTCTTGGAGCCAAGAGGCTAACACCGATCTGGTTGTGACAAATACGAAAGATTCAAGGCAAGTCAGTTGAAGACTGGAGTCATGTCGCAGCCTCGGCAAATGGAGCGGCGAAATCAACAACATTTTGCAATCGACTGGAAACATGCAGATCACTGTTGTTGCAAGCCAGCGCATCTTTGCCTCAGTCTGGCCCACATAGAGACTGATGATGTCTCACAGAACAGGCAGTCAACGAGCTTGGTGACTCTCCGACCCGTCATCCGCATGGGTTCTTCAACTTCTAGTCACCCGAGAGGTGGAGGCAATACGGCAGAGAAACATTCAGCATCATCTGGACACACAGAGCTTGCAAGCAACGAGCGACAAACCGCCGCAGGCTCGACAATCTGTTTTCCACAGGAAAGCACACGGCAACTGCAGCTGTTCTGAGGGTTGCTCCACTCTGGAGAGCTCTCACTCCAAGCTTAGCAACCCGGTGCACGCTCACCACATCTGCACCTGTGACGACGGGCGCATCGCCATTCCCACCGGATCGCATTTCTCCATCACTCACACAACTCCAACACAACTCCACCCTCACTCAGCTCAATGTAAAGTAGGTCCGCTGCCAGCAGGCGCCAGACACTGTCAAGTCCATGCTGTAAACCCTAAACCCCCAATCTGAAACACACTAATTAAACTCAACCCAAACCAAATCGCTAAACCCTAAAAAACCCTGATGCCAAAAACCTAAACCTCAAAAACCCTAAACCCCCTAACCCACCAAACCTTAAACCCTAAAAGCCCTAAGCCCGAAAAACCTAAACCCTAAAAGCCCCAATCCCTAAACACCCAAAACCCTTAACCCTCAAAACCTGAAGCCCTACAAACCTTACAATCCCTAAACCCCGAAACCCGAACCCCCCCAAGCCCTAAACGCTTTAAGCACCCTTAAAATCCAAAAACCCTAAACATCCTAAACCCTAAAAGCCCTACACCCCCAACCCTGTAAACCGCAAAGACTAAACCCTTACAACCCTGAACTCTAAGAACTCTGAACCCCAATAACCCTAAACAGCCAAACCCCAAATCCTATAAACGCCAAGAAGCCCAAAGAACCCAAAACCCGAAACCCAAAAACCTACAAATTCCTAAACCCTAAACCCTAAAAGCCCTAAACCGCCAAAGTCTAACCCTACACCCCAACACCTGGAAAACCCTAAACCTAAACCCGAACCCAAACGCTAAACCCTAAAAACCCTGATGCCAAAAAACCCTAAAACTTAAAAACCCTAAACCCTAACCCCCAAACCTTAAACCCTAAAAGCCGTAAGCCCTAACAACCTCAACCCTAAAAGCCCTAAAGCCCAAACCCCCAAAGCCCTAACCCCTAAACCCTACAAACCTGACGAAGGCTAAACCGCGAAACCCTCCCTAAACCCCCCCGAGTCCTGAAATCTTTAAACACGCCAAAGACCCAAGAACCGTAAACACCCTAAACCCTAAAAACCCTACACGCCAAAACCTATAAACCTGAGCCCTGAAATCCTGAACCCCAAGACCCTAAACACTACGTAGAAACCCTATAAGCCCCAATTACCAAAGCCCCCAGCCCGAAAATCCCGCACCCCAAACCCTGAAGCCTAAAAACCCTCAACACCCTAAACCCATGAACCCAAACCCTAAAAATGCCCAAAGCCTAAAAGTCCTAAACGCCAAAACCCTAAACACAAAGCCCTAAAAGTCCTAAAAACCACCCCATAAACCCACAAACCACAAAAAAACGAACCGGCCCCTTCCCCCCCCCCACCCCACCAGAAAAACGAACCGGTCCTGCGCGGTTCAGCTGCTGCGCAGCAGCCAGGCCGGCAGGTCCTGCGGGCCGCCGGCGCGGGAGGTTTCTCTAAGGGCTTGCATGGTACTATACTTGAAGCTCACGCACGGTATAAAACGCAAGCTCAAATTATGGGGTCTTGAAATTTTAGGTGTTTAGGGGTTTGGGGTTTAGGGGTTTAGGGTTTTAGGGGTTTAGGTGTTTTGGGGTTTAGCTAATACTGATAGTGATACTGATAATGGTAAGAAGAAGAAAACTCAATTGACTTGTACATGAGATTCTGACCGGGTTTTACAAGGCTTCTGGGAATATACTGAATATACAGTTATACATGATGGGATTTCTATCAAGTACAGGATTCTGTACGGGTGTATACAGCATTCTGTCGCAATCGTTAGTTCAGCAGCAGCTAAATTCCAAAGCATCAGACATGCACCTAGAAAAGAAGACCTAGATCACTACATCCATGAAACCTCAAGCGGGTGCCCTTGAACTCTAACCGCAACGGCACCGAAGAAAAGCTTTAGGAAAGAATGCACGAAGCTCTAGGAAACTTACTTCGTCCTGAAAAGCCGTAGCAAAACCAACCAAAACAGACCAAACCCTTCACTAAGAAAACTTCTACAAGGGTGGCCACATAACCCAAACCAGTACAAATCCTAAATCCCGGACCCGAAACCCTAAACCCGAAATCCTAAACCCCCTGAACCCTAGATCCTAAACCCTAGATATTTCAAACCGCATAGACCCTAACTTTAGGTTCCTCACTTGAAATGCCTCGCCTGAGCCGATGACAGCAATGCGGCGGCCCGTTCGCTGCAATGGCGGCTGGGCCTTCACCCAGCCCTTGCTGAAGCCATACCTGGGGCTACAAAGTAAGATCATATACAATCAGATTTAATAATGGTCTAATGTCCTATACCTGGGGCTACAAAATAAGAGTATATGATCTGGTGTCGTATAATATCATATCCTACACCTGGGGCTACTTGAGCACCAGAAATTCCATGTATACTACCATCATGGAATTACCTCCCGGAACACCATCCTCCTGATGGTTCAAGCGGACCTAATTCCATGATACTAGTATATTTGGACCCTCTACATTGTAATTTGGACTACAGGGTTCAGGGTTCAGGGTTTAGGTTAGGATGTAACCAGGGTGTAGGATTTAGGATTCCCGGGGGCTGGGGTGGAGGATCCTAGAGTTCATGCTTTCTGGGTTCGTGGAAAACTGATGTTCGGTATGGTTATCTGTACATGTGCTCTTTCAAAGCAAATAGATGCAACGCCCGTCTATCTTACCTGTGTTCTTGCCGATCATGTTATGCTCACTTGTAGGATGCTCTGAATCACTCTTGTTCGCCGTGCGAGTAAGTAGCAGCGTTATGGAATGGCCACTGTTCTTTCTTCCGATATGGCAGCAAAGCAGTTATCGTAGCTGATCCTCAAGTTAAGGCCGTGCACGATTTCGTACCTAATCAGGCGTCCTTTTGCCACCGGAAGCTGGTCGAAACCCCCAAGGCCCAGCAAGGCTGGACCCAAAGGCCCCATGCTTCAAGGTTGTTGATGGCCTTCAAAAACCGTTGCGCCTGGAGTTTGAATTTATTGAACGCCGAGCCACAGGCAGTTCCAAGGGGGGCTAAACTTAACCTTAGACCCCTAAACGGAAACCCCTTTAACAGGCGGGGCCCCTATAAACCCCTTGCAGAACCAGTCTACAACTCACAATGAAACCCCTTGGGTGGAACTCCGTCAACCTCTGGGCTGAGTTGCTCGATGATGGACAGCTCTGTCGTTTTGATGGCCACCGGCTTCTCGTTGATGCCCAGAACGCAGGCTTCCTGGTTTTGGAGAGCCCTGACACTCCGATGTGCTCGCCTGAGGAATACACCATACTACTCCGTGATGCAATGATTTGTCGGGGAAGGTTGTACTTGAGATCATAACGCAAAACCCTACACTCCGAGCTGGTGCTCTTCCCCTACTTCAACTCCTAATCCTCCTCCTCCGCCTCCTTACTGCTACTTCTTCTTAGTCACAGTCTTCGCTACTACTACTGCCACCATCGCAACAACTACTACAGTACATACTACTACCATCACCGCCACACCAACAGCCTCACGATGGAGATGACCAGGGGATTTAAGCAAGTGTCAGTAGGCCGTCCGATGGTTCGACGGCTCTGAGAAAGATACTAAACAGGCTAAGATCCCCTGTCCAAGAAAACCTGCAGCGGGCTAGTGTCTTGCAAGTTGCACTTCTTGCACATCTTATGAAATATACAAGTTGAGACCTTTGTCTGATCATTTTAAGGGATTCGCATCGCAGGAGGGCTTGATTGCTGTGTAGTACCCATTTGTATCGGGAATAGAAATTTCTGCTGATTCACAAAATCGTGCGTGCTCGTGGCAAGGAATCATCATAGCCGTAGTAAGAAGTGATGACAGTGTCGGATACTTCCGGAAATACAAGCTTTGTGCAATGCCGTGAAGTAATCACTCGGTCTCGCATGTCGACTCATGCTTTCGCGGGCGAAAGCTGGAGCCCGGGTTTTAGCTTCAGTGATTCAGGAAGCCCTGCCTCGCAGGGCGCCGGGCAGGTGGTGCCTGCAACGGACTCTATGCACCGACACGACACGAGTTTGCTCAGAAAGACTGCAACAGTGCCAGCACGGCTGATCTTATGTCATGGGTCCGCCTTTGCTATCACTCCCCTCCTCTGGACATCCTCTCCCTGCACACCTGTGAACTCCGGGAAGTTGTTGGTATCAAGCAATCGCTCCAGGGCTCGCTTCCACTCGCCCTCGTGCACCAGCCTCGGTATTGCCACGCGGCGGCTGCGCTTTTTTGGGGTACTATATACTACGAGACGCAACCCTCTCCGGGCGCGAGCCGTATCGCCTAAACCCCTCAGCCCCCAGTCTCAACCCTAAAGCCCCGAACCCACCAAATTCCTGAACTCATCGCGTAGCAAAACCGAACGTGTCAGACGGTCGAGCTTTTGGTCTTCGTGCCAGCAGGCTTAGGCCCAGGCATGCTTTCAAGTTTAGGGCTCCTGAACCCTAGGCCCTAAACCCTTGGGGTGTTCGGCTCGAGGCCCACACCTACACTCCAAGCCCCGCAAGCCCTGAGAGCAGGGCTGATTCCAAGTGGGGATGCGGTTGCCCAGGGGACATCCGCCTCCGCCCTGGACAAGAGTCCAAGGGGTGAAGGTGAACCCACAAACCACTCTGATGCAGCGGCCTTCATAATCACAATAAGGCTTTGACCAATATCGTACTATATATACATATATACATACAGGAACCAGAAGGACTGTTAGACACCCTTTGGATTCGGCAGTCGCTTCGGGGCTCAGCGTTCCTTGGCATAGGATTCCCAAACACGCAACTCCCGAAAGGGAACCCAGATGAACCCAGAACCTCTCAACGCTTGAACCACAATTTTGCAACACCCTTCGGCCTTCTCAGAAGTCCCGTATTACAAGGAACCCCGAATAATAGAGACCTTGAATCCGGTCAGCTATTGAAGGGCGCTACAAGCCTGAAAGGAACCCTCTCTAAAACAGAACCGCCCCCACTCCGCACCCCACGGAAAGCCCAAACTGGACCATCCGAAACCTGTAAACCACTCTACGCCCCAAGCAAGGCACCAAGAAAAACTCCACAGACAGTGTCCAGCGCCGGCCTGGTTCGGGCTGTGGCACGTGGGAGTTCCGCAGTCCATGCATCGGGCCGTCTGGGTCTGCATCCTTGGAAGAATCCAAGGGTCTTAGGGGATCCAAGCCAATCATTATTCAGCGGATTTCGAGCGTTGTACCGAAACCTGCATTGTAGAAGTGCCGGGCGTCCAATTGTGCCACTGCTGGCTCTTCTTGGACTGTGAGGCATAGATCTCCTTCGGGACTGATCACTCGAATTGAATTTGTCACTTGTCCACACCCAAAGCAACGCAAGTTCAGAGGCTCCCAAACCTTGTGACATCCATTACCGAGCCAGGAAGCTATGCAGTGTCTGTCAGGACGCGCATCTAAATGCTTTCAGCCCCTGCATGTAACCACCAACATCAACACACCAGCCTGCATCGCGTAAACCCACACACACACGGACAACCGAAGAAGACCCACAAACTCGATAAGATCAAAATGAACATCTTCCGTGTGGTTGGTGCCTCCCAATCGAGGATACGATCTTTGTGGTCACGGTAAGGAAGCGCCTGAGGCGGGCTTCGGCCGAATTCCGCAAAAAGGGACTTTACGGTCGCGGAAATTTCTTGGATTCCGGATCGGGGGCTCCGATTGTAGTGTTGCTGTGGTCACACGGACCTTTGTATCAGGTTTGTGGGATTTAGGTTGACTTGGGGATGAACAAGCATTCTAGGCCATTCTAGACGCTACATTGCATTCGGGATTGTACCGCGTTTGAGTTCCTCGGAGCCGACAATCTCGGCGGGCTTGTCGGCTTGTAGATACCCCCCACCTTTCAGAACTCAGCCTATTGTGTAGATGCTCTGAGATACGCTGCTGCTTTCTAGCCTTTTCACATCATCTACGCGGCACCTGCACCTTGCAGCAAGTGCAACAACACCGAAACTACGCTCAACGCGCCCAGCCCGACTTCGAATCTGGTGCCTTGCGCTCGTACTCGTGGAAGCCGCGCTTCTTCTCCTTGGCGTTTTTGCCGTCGTCTCGAACTCGAACAAAACAACCAACATCACAAACACCTTGGGGTTTAGGGCGAATCTAGGGTTGAGGGTTCAGGCATTGGGGGCTTCTCGAACTGCTGCCTTTCACTACACAGAAACCGCCTCAGCATTATCAGACCCCAAAAGACCCCTTTAGAAACCGTCTAAACCTCCCCAACGTAGACCCTTCCTTTTGACTCCTCAATTCTTTATCCCGGTCGCCGGGCTGGCAACGCTGATCGGCTTGCCTGCAGCATCCTTGCAGCGCGACCAGGGGTCCATTTCGTGGGGGACCCTACAACTCATCGTCTATATCACGGTAATTCACGGTACTTTGTCTTGAAACTCCCAACACCAGACTTTTCAAAAGACAGCAGTGAGTGAGTAGTCGGGTCATGGGCACCTTTTCAGGCTCCATGTCAACATCAAGGGGCGTATGTCGGGCTCACGGTGCTTTCTTTTTAAATTTAGCATGGAAAGACATTCACGATGTCCAGGGCGTTTTGGGGTTCAGGGCCTAAGGTGGGCTAACAGGTACAGGAATGCTCCAGATTGACGGTGCTGCTTAAATGTCTGAGTTCTTCGGGCTTCTTCAACGCAGTAGCCCGGCAATCCGAGGATCCCCATCTACAGCACATCCTTTGAGCGTTTCAGAGTTCCTAAGCCCTAAGACTTTAAGACCCATCGGGGTCTATCAACTTTCACCTACCATAGACTCGCGCCGCCACCACAAAGCAGCAGTCAGCAACGACAATCTCAGCTCCATAGAACGGTTCACGGCATGAGTCGCTCGTACAGAGTTTACCGTATAAGGGAATTCGGATTCATGTATAAGTTCAGGGCTTTTAAGCCCCAGGTGGCAAGAAACAAGCCCAAACTCTAAACACGCATGCCACAAGCCGAACACCAAAGCCATAAGTCACCAAACTCCAGCCCCAATATCCTGCTAAGCCCATACTAGCACTCAAGCTGTGAAACCTTTCAAGGCGCCCCATGAATCAATGTGAACCCCTAGGCCCCGTCCTCGAGATCCGTGCCGGGAGCTGGAGGAGGGCTGGGTGCAGACTTCGCCGGCGCCTGGTGATGGAGATGTTGGCCTTTTTGGGGCCTAGGGCCTAGGGTTCAGGGTATAGGTTTTGGGGTGTAGGGTCGTTCGGGGCGTTTTAAGGCTGTTGCTGTGCACCCGAACACCGTACACAGACTACACCCCAAACACCCGAGACCCCCCAAGTTTAGCAACCCTTTTAAAGCACTATAGTCACTGACTCCCCTAGCGCCTACACACCAGAACCTGGGACCTGAGAAGGAGAAACACCTGCAGTAGATAATCCAAAAACCGGCAGCGCCTCCGCAGGAGCCTTCTCCTTCGCTGCCAGCAGAGCCTTCTTGTACCTCGTTGGGAGGAGCCGGGGTAGAGGGGGCGGGATACTTGAACGTTCATGGGACTCAGTAAAGGTAAGGAGGGCTTATAAGGAAGGCGCAGATAACCCATATCGTGATAGGTATGACATGCTCGTATAACCACCCTTCAAGGCTAGTCTAGTGGCGCTAAGCCCTTAACCCCAAGCTCCCAACGCACCCACAGAGGCTTGGATTGAGGAATCTGCATGTCGTCATTTTGTGGGTTTTGCATCTACTTTAACGGTCTCAGCCTCGAGCTGCAGAAAGATGAGGTCTGAGCCACATAAGCAGATAAGGGATGTCCCTTTGGGATGAGTTTATATCGTTTGCATCTGTTTGAGTTGTATGCTTATCTTGTTTTTGAACTATGAAGCTTGAACGCCTTGGAAGACCACGGGGAGTCAATGTCAGAGTGGAGATGCAAGGCTTGCGTGTGATTAGTGCCTTGGCTTTGGCATCCAGGGCATAGAGGGTTGAGTTTTTTCAGAGGTGTTAGGATGGCTTCGGGCAGAGGCTGCGGCATGAACCTTCAAGCTCACTGATACCTTCAGCCCTTAACTTAAGTCTCTCGACTCACCGACGAGTTCAGCTCTGAGGTAAAGCCAGGAAACTCCTTCGGGAAGACCTTGGTGAAGCGCTTCCTTGGCAAGTAGCTTCAAGTTTGGCCGGGTAACGTTCGGGGCATTGGCTTGGATTGTTTAGGGTGTAGTACAGGGGCCGTAATAATCAGAACAGGATTTTGGGTGTTATAATTCATTATAGGGTTTTGCCATGTGCTATAATCTATTATACCAAAGAGCCCTTGTGATAATATTACTAAACATTTTCAGGCCCCTGAGTTCGAGCTCACGGCTTGGTCTGTCTTGTTTGGTGTCTTGCACGGTGGGGCCCCGTAGTACAAACACTTGCAACCTTTCTGGTCCCATAAGGATTAGACAAGGAATCGCTCACCAACAGGTCCACCTTCCTTGAACACATGGGTAGTTCTCTAAGTAAGGGTCCCGTTGTAGGTCCCCAGTATAGTACGGCACCCTTATGAAAGGGGACCCTAACACGAAACCCTAAATTTAGAGAGCTACCCACATGATACTCCCGAGAAGTTTTCGAACCGAGTCGAACCGACCTCTCACTGCGGCCGGGGGGGCAGGGAGTCGGCCCACTTTGCCAGGAGATCGGAGGCCACCTTACGAGGGATCTGTAAAGGGGGTCTGCTGGGGTTTCTAAACCAGGGCGCTCTAGGGGTCCTAGGATTTAGATTCGATGGATGTTGAAACCGACTCTTCTGTAGGGCTTTGTTGTTGGATTTCAGAATTGCCTTGATACTTCAAGTCTCTTGCAGACCAGTCCTAAATCAAGGAGGGCTTCCACATTTTCAAGGCTTCTGCAGGTCCTGAGGCAGCCGGTCTTTATGGTGCTTCCTTGGGGCTGCCCGTAGTGCTATGACGAAGATCGCGTCGCTGGAGTATTAGTTCAAGTGCTTCGTGGGCATAATGGCTTCTTTGCACGGCTTTGGAGAATACAACCCTGCCAGCGCGTCCTGAAGCCCATGCATATGTCCGTGTCTGTATATGTAGTACATGTGCGTGAGTGTGCAGGTTGTGATTCGTCAAGTTTCGCCACGTACAAACCCGCCAGCATTTAGAAGCCAACCAAAAAGTCCAACATGGACCCTGCGAAATGCAATCTGTGCCCTGATCACTACAGTAGGACCCGGTAGCACATCGACTGAAGTTGAGTCGCTTCGATGTGGCCATGGCTAGAATGAAATTCGAAATTCGCCGAGCCCAGTGACAGCCACATGACCCTGACGCTTAACCACTAACTAAAAAACACTAAATTCGATCACTGCCACCATTGTCACGTGTCTCCTGCAAGCTTACACTACAAAGCCCTGTTATCTGTGGGCCCGACCTTGCTTCCGGTGTACTGCTGGTGCTCTGTGACGAGCTCCTCGGAACACAGTTCTACCAGTACTACTACTTGTTCAATAAGTGTTGAGCCTTAGGGCTTGGGGATTACCTAAAGACTTCAAGCTAGGCATGGCTGAGATGCACATAGACAATCTGTATACCGTATACCTGAAAACGAGGCCCAGCTCTCCTGGCTTACCGCTTCTACTCTGAAGGTGACTAGCTGGTTGCCCGATCGGAACACTGAAACAAATTGGCATACCGGCCTTAAACTCATCAGTACATCATGCTCGTCTGACGGCCTGTCCTCCTACAGTACCCACACAAGGTTTCGAGCAAAGATGCGAGAGGGGGTTCAGGATTTGGGAAAAATCAGACATGACAAGCGCGGAACTAATCAAAAGCCACGACCGATCCACCGCTCCAAGGTCGCGTGAACTAACACCGAAGATCTCCCCACATGTGTGTATCTGCAGGTCTCCCCAAAGCGTCTCATCCCCACGGTCACCTATAAACACCTCAAACAACCTCAGCGAAACTTGCTGATCTGGGAGGCCTCACTGAATCTGCAACCCACCACACCCCAAACGCCCAAGCTTAAGAGTCTCTTAAGCATGAACCTCACCCTGAGCCCCGAAAGCCCCAGGCCCAAAACACTCAAGCTCTGAAACAAAGAGCCCTTGTTGTCAGCCCTAGGCCCTAAGCCCTAAACCACAAATGTTCTCACCCCGAGATCCCACGCGGTCCGTCCTTCAGCAACTTCTTGTCCTCCTCTTCCTCGATTGCCTCCAAGAAGACACTTGCCTGCACGTGTACTTGGATGTGATATGCCGGGACTGCTGAAAAGGTGTTCAAAAGGTCTGTTTAGGGTTCGGTTCCAACCCCCGTTACAAGGGTTATCCTTGTATTCCACCCCTACAAAATGGCCTGATCCTTTTTTCGTAGGGTCATGAATGGGGTAAGGTTTCGGGCTCAGGGCAGTGTAGGGTCCAAGTTACAGAACACAAGGGCTCATGGCAAAAAACTCCGGTTCAGGGTTTAGTAGCTCCGGGTTGTCTGATCCAGGGGTACGGGTTCGTGCCAATTGTTTGCAACTCCTTTAAGTTTAGGGCTTACACGGTTTAAGGCTTACAAGGCTTATTATATATATGTATATGCATATACATAGATGCATATCCAGGTATACATTTTCGAGTATATAGATAGATAGATAGATAGATAGATAGACAAATAGATAGATAGATAGATAGATAGATAGATAGACAGATAGATAGATAGACAGATAGATAGATAGACAGATAGACAGATAGAAAGATAGATAGAAAGATAGATAGAAAGATAGATAGAAAGATAGATAGCTACATAGATAGGAAGATAGATAGATAGACAGGTAGATAGATACCTAGGTAGATAGATAGATAGATAGCCAGATAGATAGATAGACAGATAGATAGATAGATAGACAGATAGACTGATAGATAGATCGACAGATAGATAGTTAGATATGTAGATAGATAGATAGATAGATAGATAGATACATAGATAGATAGATAGATAGATAGATAGATAGCTACATAGATAGGAAGATAGATAGATAGACAGGTAGATAAATACCTAGGTAGATAGATAGATAGATAGATAGATAGATAGCCAGATAGATAGATAGACAGATAGATAGACAGACAGATAGACTGATAGATAGATCGACAGATAGATAGTTAGATATGTAGACAGATAGACAGATAGATAGATAGATAGATAGATAGATAGCTACATAGATAGGAAGATAGATAGTTAGACAGGTAGATAGATACCTAGGTAGATAGCTAGGTAGATAGACAGATAGATGGATAGATACAGATAGAAAGAGATAGATACAGACAGGCGGAAGCCTGGGGTTGGGATTCCAGGTAATGCCAAGGGCCCCTCGAGCACAAAGAACGGAGGCACAGGGCCCCCTCTTCAGGGCCCCTATGTTAGCGATATAGCAATGGTAGTACAAGATAGAACCCCCGGGACCTGATCCCATAATCCTCCGCCAATCAACCAACAACAGTGCGAAACCTTGTTCAAAAACTCGCCAGATCCTTGCTTCCAACATCAAGTAGTAGTAGTAGGAGTAGCAGTAGCAGTAGCAGTAGCAGTAGCAGTGGTAGTAGTAGTAGTAGCAGTAGCAGTAGCAGTAGCAGTAGTAGTAGTTACAAGTGCATCAACAAAACACTGAAAACACTCGAGGGGAATTGGGCCGCGTTGATTGAAAAAAGTACATGACGTGTGAATGCACGATACCGCAGCCAGGCCTTGTTACACATGGCCTCCTGCATGTCCAGGATGTAAGCGATGCCTGCCACAAAGCTGAAGGATGTGGAAGGTGCGATGGCATCCCCGGTGTTCGCAGCCCACACAACAGCACTTCTAGACTTCAACCCCAGGGCCCTAGGGCTCCGGGGAGTTAAGATCTGGTCCGTTGGTTTGCCACTCATTGCTCCTATCAGAGTTGAGCTGCCAAAGTTTCAACCACCGCAAAGAATGAGGCTAAGAGCCTCACATTCGGAATCCACAGATGATAGCCTTTACTCCACACGAAGCCAGGGTTCCCACACACCGGGTTCAATAAATGTCTGCTCGGCCTTCTCTCGTCGGTATCGGAATCGTGCACTTGAGGCTTAAGCCCTAAACAGGAAATAGGCTGGGCCCCCGGATCAGCCTCGGAACGGTGAGTTCAAGGTTCGGACGTAACGGTTTCAAGGTTTCGCACCACATCATCAAAGTGGCCTTGAAAGGCCATTCGATGCTGAGTCCAAGCGTTGTCGTTCCTTGTGTCCAGGTCCAGGCCCGCACGGGCGTCCACCAACGAACGAACGAACTCAATGTGGCCTTCGTCCGCTGCTGCCAGCAGTTCACGAGGACGCATTGCTAAATTACGGATAACACGGAGCAGATGCACATCAACGAGCGCATGCACACCAGCAGAATCGTTTTAACAAGTGCCATCATACACGAGCGGGGTCTTGGGTTTAAGTCTATCTTCTGTTTATTCTGTTACGCCCTGATATGATAAGGGGCCTGACCGGGTCTGGCTTTCGAAACACGGGAATCCCGACAATCATGTAGGCCAAAGTCCTAGCGCACGCAGACCACACGCTCGTGCCTCCACTCATGCCTGCTGCGAAGTTGGATCCCATCCTGGACATGTTTAGGTCGAAAGAGCGCAAAGTCCGACTCAAGAGAGAGAGAGAGAGAGAGAGGGAGAGTGGGTGTGTGCTATATATATATATATACACACACACTATATTGTGGGCAGGTGTGCGTTGGCTTTGCAAACTGAGGATCCGGACTTGTCGTTAACGGTATGTGAATACATACATTTACATACCTACCTGCCTGTTTGTAAATTTGCCTACCTAACCTTTTAAATGCATGCCTACAAACATACATACATCACAAATGCACACAAGTACAGATACCGGAAGTACCAGTCCCTTTCACAGGTTACTAAAGGGCACTAGTAGGTTTCGTGTCCGGCATTCGAGATCATGATTTCGAGCCAGCACGTTATCGTCCGACTTAACACCCTGCAGAGCACCATCGAACCATGCAGAATGTTGAACTCAAGATAAAATTTGTACACCCCGAACCGGTCCATCTTATGCACCACCTTAGTTATGTTCTTGAGGAGATCTGGGGGCAGAATGGCTTGGTAAAGAAGCTTGGAATGCACCGGGGAAGTGCTGTGATGTAAGAGCGCCTGCTGCCCACGTACTACATACGTCCCCTGAGCCTTCAGAGCGGTTTAGGGTTTGAGGTTCCCCAACCTCACAACCCCCGTCAACCTACGACCTCAGTCTAGCCTGGCTTAACGAACATGTGCTTAGGGGTTTCAGCAAATTGGGGGTTGCGGGACGGTTGGTCTTATGACCGGGATCTTGCTCAGGGTCGCTATCAAGGTCTGGTAGATACGTCTGCATGAACTTGCAGGTTTCAGGTGCAGGGCTTTGCTACTGGTGCTTCGGCTTTCGGACTGCTGTGATTGGGTGTTGGTATCTCCGGAAAGTCTGCTGCGAAAGCTCTAGCGCTCGACAGGTGATGGCCATTCTGCAGCAGAGAGCACAGGCCGAAGGGGCGGTACCGGGCGACACGTCAAGGAGAGGCCTGGAAAGCAGAGGAGGTCGTCCTTTTGTTTGAAAATCTTCGGATCCAGCATAGTGCCACACTTCCATCACGTGGTCGTGCATTGCACGAACTTGCCATGCAGCTCGGCCTGCTCGTTCCCGCAAACATGGCATGGCAAAGTGCATCCAGATCCTCCGGGGTCACCGACACTTCTGGCCCTGAAGCCTGCCTGGATCAGGTTGTGCGGTGTAGCTCGAAAGTCACACGGGTGGGGCACGTTGACTGCAGAAACTTCGGTGTAGAGCCGGATTTGCATGCGCGTCTCAATATCCGGCGAAGCCTTGATATCCCGCGACAGTGTGCGGCAGTGAAAGTCCCCTGGATAATACCCCGGTAATTACATATTAAGATAGTTACCCATCTAAGCCCGAAGCCCTACATGTAAGTACGAAACCTGATTCAGGCCAAGGATCTGTCCCAGGACGATGACCGTACCACGGGTCATGTACCTAATTCGGGCTTGGGCTCTTGGGTTTAGGGGTTGCTTAACATTAATTAGAGTATGTTTCTGAGGGCGGGGGTATACTCAGGATCCTACTACTTGGGGGGTCGATTCCCGTTGTTGTCTGCAACTCCGGTTTCGGACCGGGTTGTGGAGAATTGAAGATGAAACCGCACAGGAGTTTCGCGGAGGGCTTCCCAGCAACAAGAAAACACGAGCACAGATCTTTGCGCAGATCACAGTAATGTCAACGATAACCACATAGATACTGCGATTAATTACTCACCGCGTGCAAGACTCCTCCGTTAACGACGATGCTTCCCATGTTCGCAGCCCCGGATCTCGCCTCTGTTGGGCTAAAGTCAAACCACTGTGCTTCTGTGTCGCCGAATCCAGGGCTTCAGGGGGTTTATTGCTCTTTGGCGTAAGACCGGAAGTTTGAATTGTAGACCTTGGGGCTTCAAGCTTTGAGGGCTCTAGAGAGCTTCGAGGGCTAAGCGCTTTTGGGGCTTGGTTTTGGTCAGTTTCAGGGATCCCAAGTGAATCCCAGTTGCTCGCAGCCGTGATCTCCCACGCCTGTTGCATATCAGGGGATCCTAGCTCTAAGAGAGGTCTGCAGGGCTTTCAGGGCTGCGAGAGGGGTTCAAAGCGGTTTAGGGGGTAGGGGGCAGGGCTTGGGCTCTGAGGATTTCGGGATTTCAGGCTCTTTTGGCTTTGAGGATGGGAGGGCTTAGCCCAAAAGCATCCTTCCCGTGATTTGCTCTTGCAGGCGACACCTGTGCACCCTAACTGCTTTGGTTTTCGGGCAGGGGTGTTTTGAGTGCAGGGTCTGGGGCTTCATCCAATCACAGGTGTTGAAACCTCTCGTGATCTGCTTCTTTAAAAACCCTATACCGACTTGCTTCGATCAGAACCCCTGTCCATGCTGTCCATGTCAGGCTCTGCAGCACTGAAGCTCTGAAAGCCTGATTAGAGTCCTAGACCCTCAGCCAGGAGTTCCAGAAGGCGAAGCTGGGCCCACGCCAACCGACGAGCCCCAAACCCCAAACGCATGAAAGCCTTCAGACTCTGAAAGCCTTCCTCCTTGAAGCCCTTATCTCCGATCTGTTCGCCTTCGCAGACTGCCGTGGCCCCGGAATTTCGCACGGCAAAGCGCTCGGCAGCGATACCGGCGAAGAAGGCCTTGCCGGCGGTGCCTGGCATCAATCTTGCTTGATACACCCCAAACCCCGAACCGTATACCATGTTTGGGGGGCTCCTGGGCACCATGGGGTCGGCTTGTTGTTTGCACGGGGCGATCATGACTACTGACAAGGGCCCTTGCAAGAAAGATCCTGTAATGTAGGACCTGCATTACAGGGAGTCTCTGATAATCTGAATCTGCCGCTTGTTTGTCCAGTCTTCGCGTGGAAGTGGGGAAGGGTGGTAGATTCTTAGATTTGTGGGGTTCAGACTTGGCGGTGCAGGGTTTCGTTGTCTGTTTTAGGGATTTGTCGTCCTCCTGGCGAGGTTTTCGCAGACATCGCTTGCTGAACTGTAGTTTTAGTTTTAACTTTCTTCACATACACACTTGTCGCGTTTTCGGGTTATTTGCTTGCTACGGCTACGGCTTGCAAATTAATCTCGGAACGCAACTCAACGACTCGAAGGGAATGTAAATAGGACGGTGCTTTCAGACCCGCATGTGAAGGAAGACTTTTTAAATCCTCTTCTCATCCCAAGAACTGCTCAAACAAGAGACTGACAATGATCCCAAGCTGGAGAGGTGCGCGTGCTTAGCAGCCGGAGCGATCACCGATGGCAGCGGAAGGCAACACGAATCCATGAGACTTCCTCGACATAATCCATCTCTAGCATATTCAACCATGACAGGTCATCACCGTTACCATCAGCAGCAGCCAGCAGCAGCATACTTTCTCCTGCTTCAAACGCTTTCATAAGATAGGTGACCATACTTCAGATTCCCTATAAAGCTCACCGCGGGATCCCACGTGTCCCACCTCCGTAGAGCGCGGCGTTGCCCGCGATGATGGCGTCGTGAGACGCATAGGGAGCCTCCGCAGAAACTTCGGAGTTCCCCTATGTTTGAAGGGCCCCTGAAAAGGCTACCGAATCCAGGACCCGGAAGTGTACAAGGGATTGTGTAGTCTCTCTTCATGCGCACCTCTTCTTTTGCGAGCGCGATCGCTTCCCCGGGGCTTCTAGTCTTGCCTGTCACCCTGTCTTCCACAAGTTCCCTTGACAGCATACTCTCCTATAACGATAAATCCAAACCCTACAACACAGTCAGCCTCAGATTCTACCCCAAACCCTAAACCAACTGACGTAAGGAATCTGAATACCTGGCTGAAACCCCAACAAATCTCAAATGCTCTGTGGTCGCTGTCTTCGAAATGGGACTGACGTCTCTCGCTCTCTCTCGAGGCGACTGCTCAAACGATCAAGGATGATCAGAGGACTTGCCTTGCCACAAATACGGTATCACAAACCGAATGAAGGTATTGAAAGCCCTGCTTAATTATAACTGCCGATTGTGAGGACTTCTGCACCCCGCGACATTGGTACAAATTAGTTACATGATCATTTTACTTTACTCAAATGTGCTAATAACCCTAAAACAATACAACATTCAACAAAGGATCGGGGTTATCATCTTTGGCTGTGCTAACAACCCGAAAACAATACGTCAAAAACCGATCGAGGTAATCGATTGTGGTTGTGTTAGCAACCCATAAACAATACGTTCCAAAAAGATTGGCTGTGTTGACAACCCCAAACCAATACATTCCAAAATGCCTTTGGCTGTGTTAACCGAAAACAACACCTTCCAAAACACTATGGCTGTGTCAATTAACTCAAGCCAATACCTTCCAAAAAACGATCGAGGTAAATGCATATGGCTATGCTAACAACCCCAAACACTACCTTCAAAGAAGATCGGGGTAAATTCCTTGGGTGTTTGGCTGCGTTAACACTCCCCAAAACGATACCTTCCGATGTGGATCGGGGCAAATACCTTTGGCTGTGTTAACAACCCCAACGCAACACCTTCCAAACATGCACGCCCTTGCCTGCGTTCACAAGCCCAAAACAAGACATTCCGCAAAAAATCAGGGTAAATACATTTGGTTGTGTGAACAATCCCAGAGCAATACCCTCCAAACTAGCTCGGGGTAAATGCCAATGGCTATGTTAACCACTCCAAAACAATACCTTCCAAAAATATCGGGGCAAATGCCTATGGCTGTGTTAACAACCCAAAAACAGTATCTTCAAAAGCGATCAGTGTAAATGTCTTTGGCTGTGTTCACAGCCCCAACACAATACCTTCCAAAAAAGATAGGGTAAATGGGTTCGGCTGTGTTAACAAGACCAAGGCAGTACCCCAAAACGACTCATGGCAACAAAGATCGGGGTAATGCATTTGGCTGTCTTAACAACCCCAAAACAATACCTTGCAAAAAGATCGGGGTAAATGCAGTTTGGCTGTGTTAACCAGGCCAAAACAATCCCTTCCCAAACAGATTGGGGTAAATGCCTTTGGCGACGGATCTCTCGTTCTCTCAAACCCAAGAGTCGGCAGCGATGCTGACAACCACTGTGCGATAATCACCGAAAGAGCAAGCATCCAGTCCCAAGCCAAAGCCTTAAGCCTGAACGTTTAGGGCCGGATTGAGATGCTCAACCAGCACCCAAGCCTTCGGCTTTCTGGGGCTTTTGAAGGACCTCATGAGTTCTAGAGGTGTGATTTTGTCTCCCACTATGCCGAAGACGGTGTTGCCATAAACTCTCAAAGCGACCCCTGCTGCTTTCAACCCACAGTCCTGCAACCTAACAGCGCGAAAGCGTAGACCCGACACAATGAGTGTAAGCGCAACCCTGAACCCCAAATTGCAAGCCCAAAGAAGCCTGCCTGGTTGGGCTTGTACACGACCAGCGTGCCTCCGCTCAGGCCCTTGCCGATGTAATCGTTGGCGTCGCCTGCAGGTGTTGCGGCTTGAGGCCTTTAGACTTTGAAGGTTCGGGTTTCGGATTTTTTACGGTTCAGGCCCTCGAAGTTTATGGATGTTAGGGCAGCTTTCGAACTGAACGTGCTTAATGAGACTGTGAAAGGCGGAAGGGCATGGGTTTTAAAGAGAGGTTTACACGATGCATGTGTGTGGGTCAGAGGTTCGGAGTTCTAGGGACTCTAGTTATGTGTTATATTACTTATATTATACGGTATTCTATATAAAGCTGATACCATGTAATATTAGAACTATGCATGACGAACCCATTGTGTGTATGATTCGGGGTTCATCCGGTTTTGAAATTGTGAAGGTCAATGGCTTGCGTTGACTTCGGCATTTCGGTCTGTGGGTTTTGCTGCTTCGCATCTGGCTTTCGTTAAAGGTTTGGCCGCTTTAGCCTTTCAGGTTCTTGAGCTTACGGCTTACGACTTTGAGTTCGAATTACTGTCTAAGTCCAAACACGCTGCGAGGTGGCAGCACAGCCGGTTCGCCCTCTCAGCACCATCTACCGGCAAAGTACTGGCCGGCCAGCCTCCCAAAAGACAACCCACTGGGTCCGGGGCCCTCGAGCTCGAAAGTGATACCAGGAGCCAGGAAGTTTCCGAAGGACTGTCCTGCTCCGGTCTCGGGTTTCGGATTTAATGTTTTTAGGGTTTAGGGCTTCGGATCTAAAGGTTTCGGGCGTGTCGGGTTTAGGGATATGGGGTTTCGGATTAAACGGTTTCGGGCATTTAGGACATAGGGATTCTAAACTGTGGGATGCCGTGTTGGTGATGACTTCATACGCCGCCATGTTACGTCTTTCGGAAACGTAGACGTGGATCACCACGGCTTCAGCTGGGCTTCTGATTCAGTGCACCGTTGCATCGGGGAGCGGGGCGGGCTTGGGCTCAAGTCAAACACTCAACGGACGGCCCGCGGCCCAAACCCGCAAGGGCTGGGATCTGCGGCCTAAACTGTTTTGGCCCTTGGCGGCCATTAAAGGCTAGTGTTGGGCTACAGGATGTCTGTCGGCAGCAGGTGAGGTGCGAGGGTCATGTGGAACTGGGGCCTCAGCCCTCTCAGGCGTTGGCGATCATCGAAAACTATGTTTCGGCAGTGGCTGTGTGCAACAGCCGAATGAGACTCGGGAACGGGGGGGGGGGCCTCCAAACCGAAGCCAGCATACATGAAGGCACCACGGAAGGAATGCAAATATTCGGGTATTTAAAACGAGTTGTTGACCACAAAGCCACAAAACTTGAGGTACCCCAACCGGGGTCGAAGCCACGAAATTTGAGGTATCCCAACCGGAGTACATGTTCCAATTTGGATTCTGACCAGGCCACAAAACCTGACCTATCCCAACCGGGATCTTGGCCACGAAATCACAAAGGGCAGCTGCGGCATGCACTTGTGGTCACAAGGCTGGTGGAGCTCACTTGAGGTATCCCACCCAAGTTCTTGACCACGACACCTTCTTACTTGCGGTATCCCTACCGGGATCCTGTCCGCGAAGCCGCACAACTTGAGGTATCCCAACCGGGTTCGTGGCGATGACCCAAACGGGATCTTAACCACACCACAACAAAACTTGTGGTACCCCAGCCTATTCGCTGATCACGAAGCCAAACATCTTGAAGTATCTCAACGGGGTTTTTGACCCCGAGTCCACAAAACTTGAAGCATCCCAGCAGGGATCTTGAATACGAGAGGCACAAAGCTCATGGTATCCCAACCGAGTTTTGCCACGAAAACGCAAAGTTGAAACGTATCTCTACCGGGATCTTGACCACGAAGCCACAAAACTTGAGGTGTCCCAACCGGGATCTTCAGGGCTCTTGGCCACGAAGCCACAAAACTTGCGGTGTCCCAGCCGGGAGCTTGAAAGATCTTGACCACAAAGCCAGAAAAACTTGAGGTGTCCCAAGCTGTATCTTGGGGGACATTAGATATTGACCCCGACGCCCCACCCAGGATCTTGAGGGATCTTACCCACGAAACCACAAAACCTTCCCAACTGCGATCTCGACCACGAAGTCACCAAACTTGAGGTGTCCCAACCGGGAACTGGAGGGATCTTGACCACGAAGCCAGAAAAACTTGATGTGTCCAAACTGGGATTTTCAGGGACCTTGGCCACGAAGTCACAAAACTTGAGGTGCACCAACCGGGAGCTTGAGGGATCTGGACCACTAAGCCGCACAGTTCAGGCGCTTTTAGGGGATCTTGGGATGTTGCGTCTTTTCTTGAAACAATTCTGTGGAGCCGGAGCCGTGCACTCCGGAAAATTGCTGTTTCCCAGTTGGGATTCGCTTCTGAACTTTAGGGAATGCTTTATATTGCTGATATGCTCGGTTTGTGAGTGTTCAGAATCCAAGCGACATTTCTCTTCTACGGCACAGTCTTTAGCTTTACGTACTTTTCGGAGTCGGCTTCTGGGTTGGAGACCGTATCTGCTCAACATCGACGCTGGAAGGCTCAAGCCCTCAACGGCAACAAACCCGAAAGCCGGAAGCCAACTACCCCCCCCCCCCCTCCCCGACAAAGAGCTCCTGAGCTGCCAATGAAGGACACGTGCAGGGTGCCATCGGGGAGTCCGACTGCACCGAACTTCTTGCTGACCTGCGCCCCGATTCAGTTGTTGTCGCTTTGTCCCTGGTGTACTCCGTTCTTTTGGTGATTGGGATCTGAAGGGCTTTGTAAAGGTGTCTGTCCGAAAGATGTAGGTGGTATAGGGCTCAAGGGGATAGGGCTCTTTGTGTTTTTAGGTTAGGAGTCAGGGTTTTGGTTTAGGGCTGTTGTTGTTATCGTCGTCGTCGTCGTAGTTGCTGACCTACTTGAAGCTCCATGGGTGGTTGGCTTTACAGGCGGTTAAAAGCACCCTAGTCGGTGCTAGAAGTAAACATGAGTATACTCTCGTAGCTACGCTGTTTCTGACCGTACTGACTAAGTCTCTTGATGAGTTTTGAACACGCCACAGGCCGATGGACATGCCACAGAATCCATCAAGCGTAATTGAATAGAACGTAATTCCAGTAGTCCAGGCAGCATTTCGGTTTCTTCAAGGCCTTTCAGATGGGATCTTGGGGATTCGTCCTGCTTGCCGACTCTGCACCGAGGCTTCGAGGTGGGGGCTTTCGAGAGTAGGCGCTTTGGTTGGAAGGAGCTTTGGGCTAAGGGCCTTGAGGGGTTTAGGGCTTGGGGGGGGGGGGTGTAGTCCTAAATCGAAAAATACCAACCCCGAAACAAGCACGAAGAGCAGTCATGAGGATGAGCAGTCATCAAGAAGCGTGATGGTCCGTGACAGTCAAAACCACCACACCGCAGAAAATGCTTCCTAAATTCCTCCTTGCAGCCCCAATCAGAGCCCACCCTACACTCTAAACTCCCGAAAGAGAAACAAAACACACCATCCCAAACCTGCCTCGAAGCTGAGGATGCCTCCCACTGAGCGGTCCACGTTGTTGATGTTGATGCCCTTCAGGTGGACCTCTTCATAGGCTTTAGGGCACTAGGGTAGTAATCAGGGTCTAGGGTTCAGGATTTGGGGTTCGGGGTTATCTTTCTTGGAGAGTTGGCAAGGGTTTAGGCTTCAGGACACTGATCTTTCGAGTTCAGCATTGCTTGCAGTATAGGTCTGAGCAAACAGCGCTGAACAGCCGAACGAGCCTCTCGAACCGATCAGGAGTATGCTGTCTTGGCGAAATCACACATTACAAGTATGTGGGAATTCATGAGCTGACGGGCCTTCTCCTTGTCCTGCAGCGCCGGGGCGCAGCGGGAGATGAGGCTCTGGTCCAAGGCATGAGCCAGCTCCTGAGGTGTTGCTTTTGGGGTTGCTTCTTCTTCAACTAGCGCCCTAGCTTTGGCTCCCTACTTAAAGGGGTTATTTTTTCGGGCTTTGGGGTTGGAGGGATGGAATTCGGCAAAGAGGGGTTCAGGAACTCAGGCTATACTGGCAACGAAGCCCCAACCAAGAACTGAAGCAGCCGGGGGGCATGGTCTTGCGGCTCGCAGCAATACATCGGCAGCTCGGCGATGTTGCCTCTGGACCAGGGCGTTTCTCTGATGTGGTATGGTTGCGCGTAAGGTTTTGGTATCGTTTTGGCTTGGACACGGGCGAAAGAAGACCGTTGCTACTGATCGAGAGCGTTAGATTGGTACACCGGTACATCCCATGAAACCTTCCACAGCATGAAGCCTGGCATTTCTCGGCCAGACAGGGCGACATGCACTAAAAGCTCAGGAGGGGGCGAAGGTGGTGCAAAGTGCAAGCCTTTAAAGCAGAATGGGGAAACACAAGCCAAACCGCAGTATGGCGGGGGAATACAGCTTCCAAGCGCACTGACTGTGCTGGTTTTCGGCCGGGCGGCAAAACAAATGAGAGCGCTAGAGACTCTAGCGCCACAGCATTTCAGGGTTGCTGCTGGGTCACTTGACCGGAAACCCATTCCCCCAAGCGCTCAAAGCCTGAAACTTCGTGGGAAGCTTTCAGGCCAGCTCCGTAGCCACAAAAAGGCCAACCCCTAAGAGCGCCACAGCCTCGTGCCCCCCTCCACCACAAACCTCAGAACCCTTTAAACCCTGCAACGCCTGGAAACCTTGGAACCCCTAGCCCTAAAACAACCAAAAACCCCGAACACACTAAATCTGAATCCTTTAAATCCTGAAACTCAAAACCACCAAAACCCTGGAACCCTAAAGCCCTTGCAACCTTGCTAACCAGTAAGCCGTAGAACCCCAACCCTGAGAAGCCTGAAACCCTAAAAACAGCAAAAACCTCGAAAAACCACAAACCTCAAACCCTTAAGCATATCTTGTTGCCGAGTATAAACCCTAAACCCTAGAATCCTGAACCCTGAACAACCACATGAACCACTCAAACCCGAACCCGCGACAGACCTTTAAAACCTGAACCCTCTACCCTTAGACACCTGTTGTTGCTGCTTGTGCCCTAATTACAACCAACATACGTAAACCCTAAAGCCCAAAACCTTCAAACCCTAAAGCCTAACAGCCATGGAAACACCAAAACCCGAAACCCCAAAAAACTTATAACCCTAAATCGCAAAAGCCACTAAAACCGCTAAACCCCAAAACCTCAAATCCGTAAAGCCTCTAAAACCCTTTGAGCTTTAACCCTGCAAACCTTCCATAGCAATTCCAAAATACCCCGAAGCCCCATGCACTTTAAAGCCCTGAAGCCCTCTAAACCCTCTAAACCCTTTGAACCCTTTGATCCAAAACCAAGAAGAGCCCTGAAACCCTTGACGATCATGAAACCAATTAATCAATCAAACCCTTTGAACCCTGAAACCCGAAAAGCTCTGACATCCTACACCAAGGAAGCCCTTTAGCTTCCCTAAGCCCCAAAAGCCCTAAACCCTAAAAGCCCTGACACCGGAAAGAAAATTCCTTCTTGAAGCCCTTTTTGAGTCGAGACTCTTGGCACCCTCAAAAGCTTTCAAGCCCTAAATCCTATACCCTCGAAACCCTTGAAAACCCTTTAACCCCTTCAAGTCCTGAAGCCCTAAACCCTAAACCCTCAAACATTGAGACCCTGTAAGCCTGTTTCCCTTTAAGCCCTTCAAAGCCAAAAACCGTACACTGTAACCTCAAAACCCTTCAAACCCATTGAACCACTTGAACCATTTGAACCCCAACCCGCAGAACCTTTAAAAACCCCTGCGCCACTCAATCTAAACCCCGTGTACACCAAAACTCAAAACCCGAAATGCCGCGAAACACGGAAATTCTAAAACCCTTGTAGACCCTTTACCACCCCGACGCCCTAGAACCCAGAACATTAGAAACCCGAAAACCCGAACACCCTGTACACGGCAAACCCTGTAAGCCCTTAAGACCCTGAACCCCTTTGAACTGTATTTGCCGCAAGCCCTAAAACCCTAGACCGCAAAGCCTCAAACCCTGAAGCCGAAAAACCCCGAAAGCCCTAAAACACTAAGAACCTGCACCCTAAAACCCTAAACCGTAAAAAGTCTGAAACCCATTAACGCCCATATATATTTGTGCTGAAGCCCAAAAACTGAAACCTTAAAACCCTTAAGACCTTCTAAATTTTGATACCCCTGAACCCTGAAATCCTAAACGCCACAAGCCCCCCAAAAAGCTCAAACCCCCTCAGTCTAAAACCCTGACACCCTAAAACCCTAAATCCCTTGAAGCCCTTCAACCCCTAAACCCTCGAACCCTGAACTCACAAAAACCCTGGAACGTGAAGGCCCTGTAACCCTGTTCAAAACTTTAGCACTCTTGTCTTAAACCCCTGCAAGCACTTAAACCCCTTAACCCTTAAAGCCTTTCTTACCCTAAACCCTGAAAGCCCTTAAGAACCTAGTATACCCCAACCTGAGCCCTCAACCCCAAACCAGGCTAAAACCCTCAAGCCCCACAAACCCTTAAAACCCTAACCTCAAAAAGCGCTCAAACCCCGTGAAGCCCTATAAAACTGCGCCCTAAACCCAAAAATGCCGAAAAACTCAAGAAGACCTAAAAACCCGCACACCTGTAAACCCTAAAACCCCATAGACTTCCAGCATCCTAAGGCCTAAAGCCCCACGAATCCCAGAGCTTGCGCCGGGCTGCTCATGGAAAGCCTTATAATTCCCCCTCAAGCCTCCTAAACCCTAAACCCCTAACCCTCTAAACCCCCTAAACCCGCTAAACCCTGAACCCCCCCTCATCACCCTTAAGCCCCCCCAAAAAACCTAAACCCTCAACCCTAAACCCTAAGCCCTCAACCCTCAACCCTCAACCCTGAACCCTCCAAACCCTCTGAACCCTCTGAACTTGCTTCCCGGGCGGCTCATGGAGTTCTCCATGGTCCAGGCCGGCTTCAGGAGGTCCGCGAAGTCCAAGTCGGCGGTCTTCGGGTTGTCCTCTCAAGGACACAAAGGGGGGGGCCTTCTTGTAGGGGCTTTGGTGTGGCATTGTAGGCTGTGTAGGATTTTGTAAGGGTTTTGTAGGATTTTGTGGGGGTCAATAGGGTTGTTGCCTTCTTATGCGGTTTCGAGAAGGGCTCTTGCCAGGGAAGGGTTGTCCGTTGAAGAAGAGGAGAAGGTTGTTGGGCTTTGTAAGTCTCTGCTTGGGTTTCATAAAAGGTTGTAAGTGTGTTGTGTGGTTGTAGAAGTTGTTGTTCAAAGGCGGGTGTGGGGCTAGGGGCTTTTGGAGGCTTGCGGGCTTCGAGAGAGGGCTTAAGCAAGACAGGCGTGGGGTTGTGCTGAGGGGCTTTACAGAGTTTCCTCGGGTTGTACTTGGGGCCTTGAGGCTGTTTTGGGTGCTTCTGGTTGTTTTGAGGAGCTTCCAAAAGGCTTCTTCTGGCGTGCCTCAAGAAAAGGGAGGCTTTAACCCTCTACCCCAGCCCTACAAAACGACACAAAAGAACCCAGAAGAACCTTCAAACACCTTGAGAGATCCGGCCTTCAGATATCCCTTGGGCCGCAGGAGATCGGTGCGTCCGATGAGGTCGTTGAACTTCTTGATTCCTGAGAAAGTTCCTTGTTACTTTGCTTTCCACGCCCACGATGACGACGGCTACGACGACGACGTTGCTACCCTCGGATGCACTTACCTACATATCCAGTAGGACAGCCAACAGCTAGCCTAGGACTTCACAGAGGGTTTGCTTCTCAAACATGTTCAGATTCTACTTACTCTATCCCCACATCCTACACAATAGTAGCTTAAGCTTCCGTTGCTAACATGTCTTCGTCTCGCTTGACAGCGCGAAGTTCTTGCCTTCGTACCCTTTAACTCTAGATGTCCCTGTAAAGCTACTTCCTTTCTACCACTCTAAGAGAATCAAGTTACAAAACAGTAGGTTCTTGGATTGGTACCTTCAACCCTAAAAGCCCTCTAAAGCTATACTTCCTCGATAGGTACTAAGTTGATCCCAAGCGGCCGAGAGAAGCCATGATCTCGCGCGCCTCCTCAGCGACCTGAGCTGAACACACCGTTCGTTGCGTCTTGGTTCAGGGCCTCTTTGATTCCAAGAGGCCCTTGAAAACACTAAGCTTCAATGAAACTTCATGTTTTGGCTTGGGGTTTTGCTTCGGGTGTTGGGCGGCTATCGAGTCTTCGGGCGTCGGGTTTGGAGGTCCATCGTTTCTCACTCGGGGCTCAGGGTCCGGGGCCCCAAAATCCGGGCCCCGGTGCTGCATTTCAAAGCCCCCGGCCCTCTCCGGAATCCTACGCCTCCCACCTCTCAAGTCTGGCCTCAGTGCCCACCTGGTGACTTGTCAGATCCTCAACGTCCAACCGGAACAAGGCGGGAAGAATAGACCGGCGATGGCAGCTAAGAGGCCCGATTCGCGATTAGAAGGATGGTTCGTGTGCAGGAGTATTCACTTGAAACATGGTGAAGCCAACCAGAGGAGAGAGGGGTTCGGTGCTGATCTAGGGCTCAGTTGGTTCTACCTCCACAATGAGCATAAGGTGGGATCCTGCCGATTGGACGCCTGTTGGAGGATGTTCGACATGAAGTCTCAATCAAGCCGAGGCACCATGAAGATGTAGTTGATGAGGTGCTCCGGCTGTCCTGTGGCACGAAAACTCGATGGAGCCAAACCCGTAACGTCCTCGCAGGACTTCAGCTTCAAGACGACTGTCTCCAGTTCTGGACTCTTGATGACTCTTGAGCAAGAAACCCGCGCACAAGTCCCCGCGCTGCTCCGGATCGATGTTACGAGGGGATGTCTCAGAGGCACCTTGTTCTGGGGGTCTTGGACCCTACAGGTACCATGTAGGATGGGTGTTGAGCTCTGGTGAACCCCAACGCGCGAACCTTCAACTTCCTTGAAGCGAACACCCCCTAGCTGCCACGAGGCCACCAACTCCTCAAATCCCAGGTCCTACAATCCTATAGACGCTCAAGGCCCTAGAGTCGTTCTTCTCCGAAAATCAATCCCAGAACCCAGAACCCCACAACCCGCGTTGCTCCAAGTTCCTGCAGCCAAAACCCGCAAATCTTTCGCACCCAAATCCCAAAGCCCCCAAACAATCCCCCCCACTTGCCTGTGAACTTCTTGCGCAGTTCCGGATCCTGCGTCGCCACACCCACAGGGCAGGTGTTCAAGTGGCACTTCCTGCATGGCCAAGGCTTCATGTCTGTTCAAATCAAAGCTCTTCGAGTTAAAGGGTTTCGAGCTCTAAGGCTCGTTTTTTGTCCCAGGCTTGGGAATGCGACTATATTCGGGGAATTCCGGACGCGGCGATGCCCCACAGAAATTTGTCGCACACCAGCTGACTTTAAAGGCCCGGGTAGCGGGACTCGGTCTTCGGGGTTTAGCGATAGTTTCTCAAGGGGTAGTGGTAGTCTTGCTAATCATTGGGACGCCCGGAAACCGGCTTTCGGGACGAAAGAACGCAAAGCAGTCGGTCATCGTTGTTTTGCTTCGGAATAAAGGCAGGGGGCATTGGTGGCTGGTTCCCTGTAGATGTGCTCAAAGCCCGAAGCCCAGCTCTCTGAAGCCGCGATGTCGAAATCCTGAAGCTTGCAAGTGCTAGCCTTCAATTCCAAAATCCAAGCCTCGAGCCCCAATCGTTTTGAACCTAAACCCCAAACCAAACTCCTACGGGTTGAAGGCCGTGAGCCATGAACTCATTGAATTCAGACTGTTAAATCCTAGGACCTGATCCCAAACACCTGGCAATCTTACGCCACGAACTCAAACTCACTCCAGATTCTAGCCCAGACCACCTCAGACCCTTTCATCACCTGAAAGCTTACTTACAAGCACCGCAGGAACCTACTCCCAGGTCTACCAAACCCTAAGCTGCCTCATCATGATGCATCCGAGGGTGATGAGCGGAGCAGTCGTCATGGCAATCTCCTGGAACGTCGGAGCTCAGAGCTTCGTAGGAAGCCAATGGTACGGCACTCAGTGGCAATAAGCCGCCGACGGCGACTAACATAGGGGCCCTAACAAATAGTTTTGGGTATATTATAATACTATAACGATAACTACAACAAGGAACCCCCCAAAAATAATATCGGTAATTATTGAGGCCCCATGAGGCCCCTGTATTACTTCCTGCCAGTCTACTTCCCCCCCCTCCGAAAACACCTTACCATGCAGGCGCTGCCTCGGCTCCCAGCATGGCCGCGATCACAACATCCCGACCTGTTCGCACCTGCGAAACGGGTTTAGTACCACGGTTTAGGGTTTAGGGTTTAGGGCTTAGGGTTTAGGGTTCGGGTTTAGTTTGGCTTTTGAGCACTTCCGAGGGCCACGAAGCTCAGGACCGTAAGCCTGCAATTTCAACCAGCACTGGGGAAGCAAATCAGCTTTCACACTCACGCTAAAAAAGCATCAGGAGAGGTCGGTTCATTCAGCGGTTGTGAGTTTCTGGCAAAGAATGTACGAGAATGACAACCCTACCATCACGCGCAGCAACCTTGTTCAGAAAGTCTGAACCACCTCTATCGTTGCTGCATGTTCCTGGCATTTCCCGGATGTCAAAGGCCATGCTGATTGCTCACCTAGGTCGTGGTCGTCATCTTTCTTGACGCCATTCCTGTTGCAGTACAACTCACTCTGATAACTCCGGTGTCCTGAGGGCCACATTTGTTCCCAATCTCGACATCGCAACGATCACGGTGATTTCACCTGCTGTCGCCTCTACAACTGTCGTGAACACTCGCGGCGTCGCCGTCTTCGCCAACTGATACAGTACCATCCCATCCGAATACAAGTGCAAGTGGTGACCCAACAATCCCGAGTCGCCCCCACCCCCCCTCCCGCCCCTGCGCTGCACCTGGCCGTCTGTTTGCAAGGTCACTCGATTACCTGAAAGGCGAGCGGTCGTGCGTTTGGACTCGAGCAGATCTCGGATTGCAAACTTCTGGGGCTGTCAGTTCGGAGACTTCGGCCAGCAGGACATCCTGATTGAATCTGGGGCCCACGCTGTGGTCACACGTTCAACGTTGGGGGGGAGCTAGTTGAGAAAAACAGCCTGTGCCCATACCATTGGATTCCGCAGCCCTGGAATCCGACCGCGCCGGGGGCCTGCGACCCCAACTCCAAACTCCCAAAACGAACAAGCGATGAAAACTCCTGAGCTCGAGCGAGGTGCGAAGGCCGTTGAGGACCAGGGTTTGGTGCGTTTCCGCCAGGCCGATTTCCCAAGGAAGGCCTCGAAGTGGCTTAACAAAAAGGGGGCCTTTCGTGTGTAGAGGGATTTGGGGGGCATATTATACTACTATAATGCGAATATAATGAGGAGTAATAAAAAGGAGGAGCCTTTACTAGTTACTAATTAGAAGAGGGTTTGAGGGTATAGTGTACTATAGCTCTAATAATAAGGACCATAAGACCGTAAGTGCACCCCTACATTAGAGGTGTTCAATCCGAGAATTAGCAGAGGGTGCCTCAAAGGGTTCCGTGTGCCAGGGCTTCTTACAGGGCTCCTTTTAAAGGCTTGATTCAGGGGGCTCCTTAAAAGGGCTTATACGGGTATAGAGGCCTCCATCAGTGACAAAAGGGCTTTTTGAGTATACTGTATACTTACTTGAGTATAAGTTATTGCTGCTAGTTATCCCTGCCCATGTGCAATGCTCGTGGCTCACGCTTTGGACGTTCAGCACACAGCTTCAAGCCCCAGGCCTGCGACACAATCTCTGCACCAACCTAGACCTAGACATGATCGGAAGGCCTTCTGAAGCCTCAAACCCCTACTGTAAATCCTTCCGAGCATTCGCTATGGAAACCCTTAACTTGAAGCCAAAGTACCGCAGTGCTTGATGGAACCCCACTTCGCTGCGCCGGTGCCACCGGACATGCCCGAGATGGTGAGGTGATCCGCCTCCCAGACAGGGGCTTGAACTGGTTATTCATGCCCGATTAGCGAAATCCGTGAAAAGGTTTGGAGATTGTGGCTCATAGCGCATCAGATATGGTCCACTTATGTCCGCAATCACAGGATCCTCAACCAAAGGCCAAAACCCTAATCTGGGACCAACTTGCAAACCTCACAAATCCCGCACGCCCTAACGCCCCCTGAACCACTAAGTAAGACTCGTCGTTCAGGTTCGTTCCGCACTTTGCAGCAACAAGGGCAAAGCCTTGCCCTTCACGACGCCGGAGGCGATGACTCCAATGCCAAGTCGGGCCACAAGCTTCACCTAGGGGGGCTCTCAGAACTAGGAACCTGAATAGGCTGTGGCTCTCACACCTGGGGGACTTAGCGGGCAATCCTCATTCTCACCTGGGATATCTTGTTTGAGGGCTGTTGAGGTGTGCATGGCGGCTGGCTTGAGGTCTTTACGAGTATAGAGGAAGTAGGCTTTAGCGATTTTGGATACGGGGCAATAGCTTAGGAACCTGCATCCATCACGAGGAAAGGGCCCCGTGGTAAGATTCTATGGAAAACAAAAGATCAACGGCAGCTTGCTGAAACAAACCTTAACTGCCGTGGAAGCGCGGAGATGCGTGCTGCCGGGTTGGCGTTCTTCAGATCCTGCATGGCATTCAACGCAGTCTACGCAACAATCTACAGAAGAGCTACGTCGACGAACGGACTCTGCTGATCTTATGCGTTTGCTGAGTGTTTTGTTATCTCTCTCTCTCTCTCTCTCGCTGTTGCTACCAATGCCTCTCCAAAGTACAGGGTAAGTAGACGAGAAAAAGAATTTCGTCACATTCGCCTACAGGCCCTGCTTAAACTTCTGGCAGGTTAGGTTGGTAAACTCCACCATCAGCAGCTCGCAAGCAAAGCAATTGTGGCTTCTGGGTCAAGGGTACTGACAGCAAAAAACGTCATGAGGACTGAGACGCTGCTGCAGGAGTGCAAAGCAACAAAATTCACCAGCAGCTCCTGGGAATCATCTTGGACTCTCAGAGGCTCTTGCATTAGCCTTCTGCCACTCCTCAAACTCTGTAGCCCACTAACCTTCGACTCCAGCACCACCACATTCCCCTGCAAATCCCAACCCAAACCCTGCGGACGGGTCTGGAGCCCTATAGCTCTGAAGCTCTGAAGGCAAGAACCGGAGCAATAAACGGCCAAAGAGGCCTCTCCAACTTCCCTTTCATTTCTTCGCAGGAGTGTCCCCTGTCCCTTTTGAACGACTGACTGCACCCAAGCCTCAACACGTGCACCGGAAAGCGCCCCGCCAACTTTGAAAAGCAAACGTCCAATCCAGGCAGCCAGATGTCCCAACCCTCAAGCCGAATGTCGAAAGCGCCCGAAACACTGGACCCGAACCCCCAAAACATCGAAGAACAAACGCCACATCATCGCGAACCCACACAAGGCCCCCCCACCAACCACAGCTCCAACAAACAGGGGCCTTGATCAGCTGCGCCACGTCCTCGATCGAGTACATGTCCTGAGATTCGGAGGCCTAGGGCCCTGGGGCGTAGGGTATTTATGACTCACCAACGCTGCTCTCGCGATTTGTGTCGTCGGCCTAATTCGTGCGGCTGCGTCTAGTATTCTTGATAGATTCAAATGAATATTCAGAAGCAGCTAAAACATCCGCCGAGCAGCGTGGTGAGGAGGCGGCGAGATCAAGCCCACGCCGGGTGTGGCTTTGCGGGTTTCGGCAATCTTGCCGATGACCTGCTCATGACAAGTATGGTTTGGCCCTCGAGACAGAGATAACGGGAAAACAAGAGAATCCAAACAACCCACATCGTAGAGCTCCCAGCAACATGTCCCTTCCACGGTCTACCACTTGCTCTGGCTGCCGTGGCTGCTCTCGGGACAGGAGTCTCACCAGACCAGGATAAGACATGCACCTGTGTAGGGTTACAGGTGAATTGCCGTCAGAGGCGAAGGTATTTCTGGACGCAGACTCCGAGCCCTAAGCTTCCAAATTCCAAACCCCAATCCATACACCATGGAACGCCTCCGAGGCCACATCTTCTTGCGAGCATCCTTCCGATGCCCTCGTACCGAACGGGACTAAGCCTGGGTCGAAATCCCAAAACGAGCATGACCAACCTTGTTCTGCTCATACTTCGGGCCTGACCGGGCCTGCACTGAACCCTGAAGTCCCTGAAGTCCCTGAAGTCCGTCAACGGCCCTGGGCCTTGTAGCCTGGCAGCTCGCCTCCCTCGCCCGGTTTGGCGCCCTGTGGAGTGAATCGCAGAGGGGTTCTGCCCAGAGGAGAGTTCGGGCCAAGTCTTCGGGTCTTCTTTGAATAGCCATTAACTGGTTTTCCTATTCAGGGGCCGGAGATCCCTGGGTCTGAAACCGTGGTTTCTGCTTGTGTTTCGGGCTCTGGAATTTGTGAGGGGAGTTTGTGTGGTTTGGAGTCTTTCAACTTCTGAATTAGTCGGTTGGGGCTTGACTTTTGAGAGTTCAAGATTTAGGGTATTTTAGTTTGCCGTGTAGTACAGCATGTAAACATGATACATCAGAGAAGGCAACGAATCATGGGATGCGACAAGCCATAGTAGCAATGACACAAGTAGCAATCATCATGCTACTGTGGGAGAATCAACATAACATAACAGCGGATGACTTATGCCGTCAAAGTTCCAGGGTACATCCTGCTGTTGAATTCTGTGCAAGTCTTCCTGCTGATCTACATGCATTACAAACGTTTGACTGAGGAACCGCACGTCCAGCAAAACAGGAGCTCCCATGTGATCCTAAGCCACACATCTAATCCACACATCTAGGCACCGAACCCTTTGTCATCATCCTTAAAACAGCAAAGCTTACATGAAGTGTAGACTACCCCGAAAACCTCTTCTCGATCATGAAGGCGCGTATAAAAACCTTTGCAGACCTCAATCAAACAGTTCCAATCCCCAACTCCTGTTCTTAAGGTCGCCATAGTAACTAATGGGTCATGGCTCTGCTGCAAGAAGCGCTGACCCTACCATGGTTTAAAGCAACCCCAAACCAAATCCAGAGGACGGGGGGTGCTCGAACTGGACCCTAAACCGGGATCCCTCAGTCAGGGAATGGTGTAGGGAAGTTCTCTCTCTACCCTCTGCTTGTAACCCTCAGTCAGACTAGGGCCTAGGGATATGGTGCTGTCGGAACTGTTTGAAAACGTAAACGCCCGACCTGCGCCAGCTTGATCTGCAGCTCCTGTTGATGTTGCATATCATTTGTCGGGCTTAAGGGTAGCAGAAGAGGCGAGTCACAGAAAATGCTTTTCCTCTGCATACGCACTGCCGCGTCCAAAGCAATGGGGCAGTGAAGACTTGAAGCCAAACTTGTTCAAGATCTTCCAAGAATGGAAAGATCTTCCAAGCCTAGAGGAGGATAGAGGGAGAGATGGCGGCCCTCATCCATTCCTACATGTGACCATGATCCATGATCAAAACCTGGCGAGTCATACGGCCGCTTGAATGCCCCAAGCTGGATGTGCCTGAACGTTGCGCTGCAACTGGAGGTGCTTCTGCAGAGTAGCACTGCCGGGCATCTCGATCATCTTGCTCGCCCGCACAACTCGGTCCATCCAAGCCCTGGCAGCATTTATGTCGCCCAGCGCCGCAGCGAACTGGAAGCCGTCGTAGCAGAAGCGCTGCTCGATCACAGGCATTTGGAGCTGTTCGGCCTGGTACAACTTCTCATACTCTCTCACCAGCTTCAGACCGTGCCTTGCATCAACCGCGCCCTCTTGCAAGATGCGCTCGTCTAGCACCTGCATCTGCAATCGTCTTTGATCTGATACCTGGGCCTCCGGAGATGGCATCAAGCATGCCTCACAGGCACAATCAAAGCCGAAGGGCTCGCGAAGCTCTGCCTGCCTCTCTGCACGAGTTGCAAGGACCTCCTTATAGGCAATACAGATCTCCTCGCCACAATCAATGTCACGACAGGCATACAATCGCAAGCGATTCTGCTCACGATCAAAATTGCGATATGCATTTGGCCTGCAAGAATGATTGACTCGACTGCTCAAATTGAACAAAGCCCCTTGCATGGCACCTGCACCCTTGCCGAAGGAATTCGTCATGAACACACCGTATGGCGTCTTCTCACCAAGCTCTGACTCGTACCGATCATAGAGGGACATGATGACAGACTGCTTTTGCTTTGGAAGCTTGCGAAAAGCCGCTGTCACCCCACGAACGGCAACCACAGTTACTTGCGGCCGCAGCTTTTCAAGCATCCTTGCAGGCACGCCACTTCCGACCTCAACTTTCAAGGGGTAGTGCTCTGCGAACCATGCCTCTGCGGGCGTGGCCTTCGGATTGCCCTTTGCAGCCTCCTGCAAGAGCTCCGCACCATTTAGCCTTGGGTCCAAAAGAGGCTCCTCGATCAAGATGGTGTCGCCACGTGGAATGTCACGGCTTGCGACTGCCCCAAATCCACGCCCTGGCAGCTGCCGAACGTCAAAAGAAGGACCTTCCGCATGGCTCACATCATCCTCAGACTCGGGGGGCGTAGGGGCTCCTTGTAGAGCTGGCTGTCCACGCCCCTGAGATCAAGAATGAGTCCATGCTTGACCGGGATGAGGGTCGGGTAGGCTTTCCAGCCAAACGTTGCACCACGCACTTGGAAGCCTCAGCAATCTGATGGCCTCCAAAGGAGTTGCTTGGCCACGATTTCTGACGCGCCATATCGCGGAACATTTTCTGCGTGTTGCTGTCGATGAGCTTGATGGAGTTGTTGTCAAACTTTTCATTAATAAAGTCAACTGCCATGTGCATGGGCATGTCGTAGTCAGGCTACACGGCCCAGAAGCCACGCATCATGACGCCCCAAAGTGAAATCTCCCAAGGTAGCAATTTGTTGCCATCCGGGCGATCTGTCAAGGCATACATTGCACTGCTCAAGCCAGAGTCGGACAGCGCTTTGAACTTAACTGTCATCATGGGGCGCGTGTTTGGCATCAACGACGTCACCTTGAGCAGGTTCCAGTCAATCTCTTCAAAGCGTTGGACAACTTTCTTGTACTTTTCCACACGGTCCATGTTGAACTCATCTTCGGAATCAACATCATATTGCCTGCATCTCCTGGTGAAGCGCTTGAAGTCAAAGCTTCCGTATTGTTGAAGAGCCTTGACATCATCGGGGCTGGGATTGCTCAATGGAAGTCCATTTCCTGAACTTGCACGAGCATAACCTGGGCTGCTGTGACATAACTTGAACTGAGTTACCGCAGTATGGCATGTGGTAAATGATAGGGTTGCCTGATTATAGTAAGCCTAAACAACCTTGACCCTAAACTCCCTTAGCCCCTGAACCCGAAACTTTATATACCCGTTTGAGGTAATTTAATTCAAGTTCCTTAACATCAAGCTTGTTATAGTAACTTAGTTCAAATTCCTTAACCTCAGTCCAGCAACCCTGATGAGGTCCGACGGACTGCTTCTGTTCTTCAGCCTTCACTGGAGGCACCATTAGTTTCCATGTCCATGAGCCGGGGAACCAACCCTCAATTGTTGTGGTATCCATTCTTGGCGCCTCTTCCACACATGCCACGGTTTCGACCTGCATCTCTGCTGGTGGCCTCTTTTCTTCAGACTCTCTCGCCCGCTCCTGCTTGAGCGCACGCCTGACGGCATGTACACTCACACCCAGCCGGGACGACCTCCTTCTGCGAAAGATTCGGCATCTGCCGATGAAGACTGCAGATGTCGTCAGCCTGTGGGCTGGGCATTGTTAGCCCAGGCAGGCTGGCCACAGCCACTAAACTACGCACGCGTCTGAAACTCCGCAGCTGCAGAGCACGCAGCAAATCAACAAGCCAACGCAGACGCAAACAGACCTGCTTCTGGCTGTTGATTCCTTCAGATGTGTGGAACGCGAAACAGCACGCCAATTTGAAGTTGCAACTGATTCTACACCATGAGTCTGCCTGTGACAATCAACCCTCTTCGGATGGGACGCATGTTGCCTACCTCAATACCAGGTGAAGGGTAACCTCGCCAGTTGCCGATGTCTTGTCCATGTACTTTTCATCTGGGCCTCCTTAAGTGGGGCTGTGTAAAACTTGTATACTTCGAAGAATTACGTTTCTGGACAGGGGGGGCTTGGAGCTTGGGGCGTCGAACCCTCGGCTCCTCGGCGTTGGCCAGATACTCCGCGGTGACACCGAAGCGTCCGGAGGCCACCTGAAGAGACACTTTGGATTTGGCTTCAAGGCTGGAATGAAATAAGGGATTTCCAAATGGGTCTTGTTCATGAAGGGCTTTTTACATGAGGTTGCCTGTCAAGGGTTGTCTGTGCGGTTTCACAGCGTTTCAGGCGTCGCAGATTCGGCTGTTCAGGAGCTTAGAGCTGAGGGCTCACAGGTTATCGCTGAGAGCTCAGGGCTTGGCTTTTCAGGAGGCCAGGTGTAGCGTTCTTGGTGGTGTTTACGATCTCGAGGGTCAGAGTGTCGTAGATCTGCCAAACCCTTGATTGGACGCCCTAGGCTGTGACTACGTCGTTGCTGCCCGTGATGGCCTAAACCCAACAAGTTTCAGGGTTCACACTTTCAAGCTCGAGGGGTGCACGAAGTCTTACAACCCAACAGCCTCCTAGGCGATTGAAGTTCGACGTATTGATACGTGGAAATCTGTGAAAGTTATTTGTATGTTTATGATTGTTTTTGTAGCTATTTTCATCGGGGTTGCAGCAGATTCGGCTCCATGCGCAGGGCTCAACAGGGTTCGAGTCCAAAGGCTCTGAGTTGAAAAGGCATACGGCACCAGGCAGCGCATCGAATGCCGTAAAGTGGAGCACCCTGTGCTGATCGAATCAGAATAGTCCTTGAGGTATGGACATCTACATGTACGCCCTGATACCCAGAGGCCCTGACCCCCAGCCCAGGGCTTCGCCAAGCGGTACCTCCCCCCCGAACTCGAGCAAAATCCGAGGAGGTGCCTGCTTGATCTTCGAGCGGAAGGAGTCTCCGTGGGCGATGTCCCACTTGGCTCCGCCGGCCTCAGGGTTGCTTCTGGAGATCCTTAGAGTCTCCGGGCTACCTTGCTCCTGAAGTCCACAGACCCAACGACGCACAGCAGTGCATCTCAAAAATCTCACAGCGTCTATGGAGAAGATGCAGACTTTCGGGACTTGTCTTTGCAAACATCACCAGTTCCCTCAAGCTATTACAGGTATGAGTCTTTGATGCAGCACTGAACTGCCACCGCAAAGCCCGGAAGCCCTGATATGATGCTATCTAGTAGGTGCGTAAATCTGTAAGCCTGGCACCCAAACTGCGAAAGTGCAACATCCGCAGTCCCTAAGCTTTCCCTAAATTTCAAGTGGCCCTAAAGCACACCGACAGGCCCCACCCCGAACCTCGAACTCGCCCTTCTCGAGCTGTGTGAAGCGCATCGGGTCCTGACCGCACGCAGACGGCCACATTAGGAATACTCGAACTTCGGGGCTCTGCCCTACTGCCAACGCTACTGCTAGTGTTTGTTGCTACAGCTACTGCTACGCCTGCTCCTCTGCACCAAGACTGAAGAAGTGGATTCGCGATGCCTGATTGTTCCTGTCGGTTGCCTCCGCCACAGAAAACTCTGAACTTGAAGCCTTGAAGCCCCTAATAACGGCCCTGGCGCACCAATCGCTCAAGCCCCAAGTGGCCCCATGCAGGCCCCATATGGACCTCAACAAGCCGGAAGCCCTGAACGCCGGACGTTTCGAGAGAAACCGCACGCCCTACGTAGCATCCTCTCCTCGCCACCCTCACCGGTGTTGCTCTTGCCACCGATGCGGTTCATGGCGACGGCCATGGCCCGGTGGGCCTCTCAAGCATCTCCCGCAAGGGAGCCGCAGGCTTTATACGGTCTCCGGCTCCAGGGCAAGGGATGGACTAAGGCACTTTAAGGTTGCTTTTTTCGGACCAGAGAACGTCTCAAGTTTTGATCTAGGGAGTGCTCGAGACTGGTTGGGGCCAGCCCCCAACTTTTTAACCGTACACTACAGGTGCCCGGAGTCAGAGCAATTTGGAGACCCACTTCAAGGCCTAGGAATGCCGAGGATCAGTATTCCGGGTTGAATCGAAGTTCGGGCTCTCTTAGGCTCCTATAGGGGCGGAACCACAGGCTCTGGGGGAGCTCTGAAGGGCACGGTTGGTTTGATCCAGACGGGTTGCCCTTCTCTTCAGATTTTGGCGGTGTTCCGATTCAGGTTCCACTGAATAGCTGAGGCTCAGCAAGCCTTTCTCAGGTTTGGGATGTGCGGCATAGGCTACAACTTCTACTCCGACAGTCTCAAAAGACGCGACGAATACGTTAAGGTATCATGCGGTCTTGGCAAGCGTGCCTTTGGCCAGGCCCCTACGGAAAGACCGCTTTCAAATCCCAAACCCTAAACTTAGAATCAGAGTCAAAGCAAGCCTTGATACCAACACCGCCTGTGCGGATTATCGCAGTCGCGATAGTCAGGACTACGTCAGCACTGCCTGCAAAAAACAGAGAGACCCACAAGTTGTCCCGAGTCCGGAGTTTCATCGGAACCTCGTCGGAGATGGATCCGAAGGAGGCTGCGCCGGTGCAGAAGCGCTTCACCTTAGTGGGACTTCGAAATTAGGGTTTGCGAGGTTATGGAAACAAGTATATAGTATATATAGTAGGGTACTTGCTGTTGCTATCATTACGCTCACCCCAAAAACCATCTAAAACCAAAACCCGACATCGTAACCGGCATGATGATGGTGATACTCTTGATGTTGATGATGAAAGTCATCATCATACAGATCCTGGCCATGGCGGTGGTGCTTTTGTTTGATTGTTCTCATCACCAGAACCCGCTTTAGAATACTCAACTAAGTAGTGCCAGTACCACATTGCTACCAGAACGTCCTCTCAAAGGATCACACTTCTGAGACTTAACCCAGAAATCTATGGTTGCCGGAATCCTAAAGCGGCACATTCATGCGTGTAAGCTTCATGCCTATAGGCCCGAACTCCCGGACCCCAAACCCTACTCCCCGCACGAACCTCAGAACCTACACCCTGCACGACCCCCCTTGCAAAGTTAAGCCACAAATATGGTCTATCCGTCAGTGCTGCCACTCAGGGCCACACGATCTCCACAGCTGGCTCCACCTTTCACAAGCCCAAGCAGGTAATTTCGAGAAGATTGATATAAAGAATCGAAGGAGTCTTGGTCCGAGTCCCCAACAACAAGAGGCAGCTCTATGGTGCGACTTGTGGTTTTGGGGGCAAAGGGCGTTGCAGTTCAAGAGACTGGACTTAGACTGGCTTGGTTAAGGGGTTGTTTCGAAAACTTTGGATGGCAGATTCCGGCTTAGCCTGCATCTTTCCTCCAAGCGTATGGAGCAAACTGTAAAGCGGAAAACCTGAACCTCGACAATCCCGACTAGCTTTCAAAGAGGAGACTTCAGAACAACCATCATACTAGTAACAGGACGCCAAGTTCTGTGACGCCGCGGAGTTTATGTGCCCTAAGTGGTGTTGGCTAAGATTATAGTCTTCGGCTTGCAGTTTTGGGCCGAGCTCCGAGGTTGAACTCATAAACGAGCAGGCGTGGCTTGTCAATTCTGCAGCGCCGCCATCGTGGCCCTCATCATCACCATCATCATCCTAAAGACTGAACAAGGAGATCTAAACCGGAACGCCTCACCTTACACCCCACGCCCCGCTGACTGCCCTAGGAAACCCACACTGCGTCAGTGCCTCGGAGATGTCAATCGGGTCGCACTCCTCGGACAGGAATTCGAGTTGTCCACGAATCTCCTGCGCCAGAGTGCTTCAGTCTGCTTGCAAACTCGTGTGAGCTAGCAGCCAAGGTGAACAAAGGCTCAACGAGGCCAGGGTAGGGCGTATTTTTGCTTGCCAGGGGGAGACCATAAGTAGACATGCCATGCAAAGGCCTGCGAAGGGTCGTATCATGGTGCAAGTGTCTCTTCGGACCGTTTACCGAGTCTTTCAGCACATCCTCTATGAGCTGTAACTGTAGGGGCACCAGTTCTGGACTTTTGGGACAGTTCCATCTGGTTACACCGTGGGCCGCCAACCTCAAACCATTTCAGCTCTTAGGTCTCCTAGAACCGTCGTAATTCAATACTCGGAGAATGTTAAGTTAAGCCTCAGGCCCAATACTTCAGTCCACATCCCGATAGCGTTCCGGACCACTGACCTTGAACAAAGCCCAAACCACACATCATCAGTGGAACCCAAGCACCCCACATATCTCTACGCAGCCCGAGACCCAAAGTAACTTAAATTTCAGGACCCTTAAAGAATAACTACGCCGGTGCCCAGCAGTCTTGAGCCCGTATCTTATCGGCGCATGTTGTAGATCTAGGGTTTCGCTAGTCTCAGGGGCTCAGGGCTTTCATGATGTTCCCAGTAGATGAGTTAATCATGAAGCGGTCCGTCTGCTCAGTGATCTTGTTCTGCCATGTGGAGAACATCTTGTAGGCCTTGCATGACGACTCAGACGGATCCTTCTGGGACTTAAAAAGATCCGAATATTAATCAGAACGTGTAGATTAAAGCCTCAGTAAAATGTGTAACAGATTTGGGTTGGTGGTTCAGAACGTAGACCTCGCATTCAGAACTTTCGCATATTGATTTACTCTCATGTGTAGTAGCCAAGTTTACCCGCTCGAGATGCTTCAATCGTGGTGTTCGGCGATCTTGCTCTTTGCAGATGTGCTGCAATGCTCTGGCATAACTCTGGCATCCTTGACACCCACGAAGGGCTTCACAGGTCTGCTGTTAGCATGCAAGGCCGGGACAGGTTAGATATCCATCCAGACACCCCGACTGCGTCCTCGCCAATATTCATAGGGGGGCTTGTTGGCTCTGTCTGTTAAAACTGCAAACTCATATGGGCCACATGGTTCAGCCTAGGGGTCATGGGGCAGCACTGTCCTGTCGCTCAGCCTGCTGCTCCCGACCCGTAGCAGCCTTTCTGCATAATTCTGTGTAAGCCAAGCGCTTCTCTAACTTAAGATGCCGGGTCAAGATTTGAGGGTTCGAAAAAACTTGATGGCAAAATAAGCCTTGTAGGTGCTGTCGGGCGCCAACCTCCAGGGCCCGCAGCAGGGCATTGTGGTCTCTTACGTACGAAACGCGTCGGTGCACTTGCCCAAACTCGCCCAGTTTTGAAGACGATTCTCTGTCTTGTCTTCGTGGCCACATGTTTTTCTCACATCAAGATCCTTCAATGATAAACTTGTTCACCCGACATCGGCCGATGTTGCCCATGCCGGGGATCTTGTCCAAACCTTCGTCCAAGGTCATCCTCACCATACATCCAGACGCAGCAATTCCACTTTCTGTATGCAACTCGGTTGCGCCGCAGAGGCCCAAAGTTTAAGGTTTTTTTTAGGGCTAAGACTTCGATCGCCCCAACATCGAAAAGCCATGAAGAAAGACGAACAAAAGTATCCAACCTCATAATGCGAAGCCGACCCCAGCCTCAAGGCCGCAAACCCTGATCCTTCACCGAACAGCAACCACGATCTGTTGATGAACCCAAGTCCAACAACTACATCGAAAGGAACCACTAAAGCCTGAATGCCAAACGTCCCAAAGCATTAGCACCCTAGAGCTTAACAACCCGCAAACCCTAAACTTCCTAGACTTTACAACCCCCAAAACCTCAAACCCAAACCTTGAAACCGTTAACCCCTAAACTCTCCAATCCTGAAACCCTAAACCCTAAAACCTTCAGCCCGATTCCCCCCTGACCCGCAAACCTGATGAACCCTAAGCCCTTTACAAAAAGCCCTCCTCAAATCCAAAACGCACCTTTCCCGGACTTTCCCTACTTAGCTCCGCCTGGCCTCGGTGGAGTTGGACCGCGCTGCCTCCTGGGGCTCAGGCTTTCAAACAGTCTTCTGGGGTGTGGGGTTCGGGCTTTGGGGTATCGGATGGTAGGGGCTTAGATGGATTTAGGGCTTTGGCGCTCTGGGTTTGGGGCCTTGGGTTTCGGCTGAGGGAGTCTCGGACGTCAGTTTAGCCTAACAGGGGGGAGTGTGGTTTGAGCATCGCATAGGGGCGGAGAAGGCTCGGATTCTGGGCCCAGGGGTCCAGCAGGCATTGTGTCCTGGGGGCCCAAGCTGAAGAAAGCCTCAACCCCATTGACCACGAAGTTCAAAATCACGAAGCTGACTGTAGACCGCAAAACACAAAAACTCTAAGCCGCAAAGGCCCAAAACCGGAAAATCTGAAAAGCTCCTGCATCTTGTAGATGACATCGGGTGTGTTCATGTGGATCTCGGTCTCGTGGATGCTGCGGAAGTGATACTCGCCGAAGTCCTGGTCGAGATAGAGCAGACAGCTGCGGGGTTCGAGGCATTTCGTGGTTAACGTGGATCTGAAGCTGTGATGCCGCTTTGCCAATACTCGGAGGATCGAAAGCGCAGCGCGTAGCGGTTACACAAGTCGGCTGGAGAACTCTGGCCAAGCTTTCCAGGTTGAACTTGTTTTGAAAACAGACCCCATTAGCCCTTAAGCCCTCTCACTTACGACGTCCCCACGGCCCTGTCTCCCAAACAAGACTCTGAGGTCCAAACCCTGAACTTCAAGCCCTGGGACCCCCAAGAAACCGTCTACTTTTGAGACCTCAAGGAGCCTCAATCCCTGGCCCTCAACCCTACTCCATCCTACTCCTCAAGTCTTACGAAACCAGTTCACCACACGTCTTAAGCCACCGCACGGCCGTGAACCACGGAAGCCCAAACTTCGATATGGGACTTCCGAAAATACCGGGTACCTTATTTTGGGGTCCTTATAATAAGGACCTTATTATTTAGGGTACCATATTAGTGTCCCCTCTTTTCGGAAACCCCCGTATCTAAACCTCGATGGCCTCCAGCTCTTCCACCTCGTTGTCGACAAGCGGCGGGTGAGGCCTGTTGACCAAGCGGGAGTTTCCGAAAGTTAGGGTACCCTATTTTGGGGTCCTTACAATAAAAATCCTACTATTTAGGGTACGATATTATGGTCCCCTATTTTCGGAAACCCCCATGAAGCACTGCTTAGTGACTTAGGAAAGGCTAAGTCTCGAGATGCCCAACTAAGAATTGCTCTACCCCAAAACTCGTAGACCTACATGTCCGCATGCATGCATGGCTGGATGGATGTAGGTATGTATGTATGTATGTACGTGCTAAATTGTACTATGTACATGTACATGATATGTTTATGTGTATATACATAGTATTTATATGTTTATATACATATATGCATGCATGTACATATACGGGTACGTATGCCCGCGCGCACACATACACACACGCACGCAGAGAGCCCGTCCTTGGAAGCCTAAAGCTCTAAAAACCCTAAACCCCGGGATGAAGTGATGCCTGTCTGGGAAGGCCATCTTGTGCAACTCCATGGCGTCCATCTCGAAGATGTTGAAGCCTGTCAGGCTTTTTAGGTTTTGCAGGGCGTTAAGGCTTCTGGGTATGAACTTGCAGGGAATCCTGACCTGCATGGGAATCTGATTGCATTGCATCCGACGACCCGAATTTGCGACACGGTTGTGCTATCAGTGCGCTCTCTCTTTCAACCCTGCTGCTAAACTTGCCAGATACTGCCAGCGCCTTGGCCAATAAAGACGTGCACATACCCGCACACCTGCTTACATAGCCTTTTCCTTGTAGATCACTGCGAGACATCGCTGAATTTCACAGCTCCTATAGGCAAGGTCCCAGGGCTCTCGATGCACAGTGGTCGAAGTAGGGCCCATGGGAGTTCGGCACGCAACAGAACACAACTTGAGCTGGCTATTACGGCTGTGCGATTTGATGTTGTGGCTTTGGCTTTCAAGTCATTCGCTTTTCAGTTTAGTGCTTTGGGATGCTTTGGGTCTCGAGTTGTTTCTTGTGGCTTGTGATCTAGCGCTCTAAGGCCGTAGGGCTTACGGCATCCAGCTTCGGGACTAAACGTTGCTTGGATTTTCGTGGCTCCGGGCCTAAGCACTGTAGGGATTAGGGTCTGAGGGGCCTGGCGACTTTAAGGCTGAAGGGTCGAGGGCCGTCGGGCTTTTGGAATTAGGACCGTCGGGTTTTAGCGCCTCAGAGTGAAGCCTAGGGCTCGAAGTTAACAGGCCTGCACCATTGAGCACGAACTTGCAGCCGGTGAAGCACTTGGCGATGACTTCCTCCAACGTGCAGGTTGCCAAGCCATGGAACCTAAAGCCCCAAACCCCCGCAAATTTCCGAAGCAAGAAAGTTGTGCAAACGGTCTAAAGTAAGGTCCATTACTGAGGTCGACTGGCACGTCTTTGGAATGGACCGGGGCTTTTGGGTACATTCTAGCGCAAGGTGGAGACAAAAGCTTTTCCAGGTGGCACGGAGAGATTCTCAAACCCTAAACACCCAAACACCCCAAGCCCTAGAGCACCAAAACACTCCGAGCCGTATAAGCACTCTGAAGCCCCAACGTAAAGTAAAAAAACTGAAGCCCTCAACCCTGAAGCCCTAAA